TTTCCATCAAAATTTTCTCTTAAGAATCCCAAACTCTCCGAAGATTCTAATTCCAGCGAGGTCACGTGCTATCACATCCAATTCATCAAAGAAAAACCAAAGAGTAAGAACGAAAGTCACGTGCCTAAAAAAATGGCAGGCTCATCGCCAGCCGTGACTAAAAGCATCGGCGAAACTACCGCCAGCGCTACCAAGTCGACGGCTACTGCTACAGCTGCTGCCGTGGTAGCGGAGACGCCTCTTCCTCCTCCGCCGTTTCAGCGTATGGATACTCCGCCTAAGACACAGCGTGGTCTTAATAAGCCCAAATGTATTCAGTGTGGCAATGTTGCCCGCTCCAGGTAAACGAAGTTCTCTTTTTCTGTTTTTTTAACTACTTTTTTTTTGACAAAAACGTGACTATTTTGGTTTATATTTTGATCTTGTTGGAATTTAGTAATTTCCCCCGAAAATAACGTATAACTCTAGGAACAATTATCATCAATTGAAACAGCAAGATCCAAGTAGCTAGTATTGTACCGGTGTTGTGTCGCTTTTGTTTCAATACTCGTGCGTTTCGGCGTACTTTATTGTTACCTTATAAATCTTGGTAAAATTTGTAAGCTCCACAATTGAGTCTGTATAGTTTATACCCCGTCTACTGAACTATATGTATTGAACTTATTGACATAATTACTTGAATTGGCTGTTTGATTATTCATTTATTCAAATAGTCTAAAACAATCGAATCACTCTTCTTTCTTGAATTATTTGTGCAGGTGTCCGTATCGCTCATGCAAGAGTTGTTGCTCGAAAGCACAAAATCCATGCCATTTACATGGTACGAACATATTCATCAAGAAAACTTGGGAAACTAGTTCGTTTTTGTTATTGTCAAATCAGTTATTTTGATAACAGGATGATATTGATTTTGTGGTTACTTATAAAAACAAAGAGGTTGGAGTTTTAGGCTTAGTGGCTGCTGGATATGAAGTAAAAATCATGTTGAAGATGGTTAGAAGGGGATGTTAACTTGAGACACATTATAAAGTTACGAGGATTCTTCTTGCTAGTCTTGTACTTTGTTATTGGACTCGGGCCTGATAGTTGTGTACGTGTCGTACATGGGTATGTTCAAAATTTTTAAGTTTTTTCATGTATTTAGAGGGTCTTTGAAGGATCATATCTGTATGCCTATGTACGAAAATGTGTTGGATACAGGTGTTCGGCGTGCATACTTCAAGCAAATTGAAGATTCAGAGCAGCAAAGGTTATATACCTTGAATCATTTTTTTTGGGCTTTTTGCAGTTGTGAACGGTGACTTTCTGTATAATTAGTAACTTAATTCACAAGATAAAGCAGTTTAATTTTGTTGGAATGACCATATATTCTATTGAAGGCTAGCACTGTGTTGAGCTTAGGTTTAGATTTATTTCTAAAAGCATTGTCATATAATTTTCCCCTTTTACTAAAGCAATATCATTGAGATGATATATCGTTGGACATTGAGATGTTCCTCAGAAAATTCTAAAGCAATGTACTTGGTGAATCCAATCCTTTAAGATGTGGGAGCTTGGCTAAATTCTTATGTAGGAGAGGTTATCAAATGGTTCTGTGAACACATTGGTTTAATACTTGTTATACCCTTTTCATTTTAAAGCAATTGTCTGTTACATGTAATACACAAGAGTGTTTGTTTTGAGTGACAACAAAATAGATTTTTGTTAGGTTGCAGGTATTTATATCGTTCTCAGAACTTCTGACTAGGTGACAAAGAACACTCTGAAGTCTGGTGTCACCGTTAGATGCAAACATTAAACTAGGATTGTCTAGATGTTTGTTTTATTGTTGGTAGAGCACTTCTGTTTCCGATTGAGCTAAAAGTAGTGTAAACCAAATGTGGTATGGTCATTCAGAGATTTTGGTATTCCTTTTGGGGAGAGGGAGAAACAAAGAATTTGTTCCAAGACTTGAGTGGATATATGTCTTGTCGAGGAACGAAGCAATGATTATCATAACTAACTTTATCATTTATATTGTAATTTCAGTTATAAAGTCAAATTCAGCTTTCCCAGAAAAGACACCGACTTCAAGCGCTCCGTCATCAGACCAGAAGTCAACTCAGGCTTCTTCTCAAGTGTAAGTTGCAAATATCCATTACTCAGAATAAGCATCTAGTTCTTATATTTGATTTTGGCTTAGAAGTTGATCTGTCTGTAGCTGTCAGAACTGAGAATGGGATAAAAATCTGGGAAGCATATTTCTGTATAAGCAATATCACTTTCTATGTGAAACTGACGTGTGGTTGATTCCTTGCATGTTGTAAGTTATTAAGAACTCCCTTAAGGGTTCCCTCGTATCGGCAACTTTCCAATGCTTTTGCACAGTTTGACAATCTGCAGGTCGCACAAGGAAATACCTGACCAGAAAGGTGCGGTATAGTTTATATTGAACAGATACTCTCGTTCAAGTTTGATATATTACTTTATAAGCCTTATCCCTTGTGCTTTTCAGGACTCTATTGCCTTAAATGAATGGAGGTTTTCCAAGTTAAAGCAATTCAAGGAAAGGAATATTGAAATCGAAAACGATGCTTTTGACCGGTACATGCAGAATATTAGTTTCCTTGAGGAAGTCTTTTCTACAGAATGTGAACGGTCTGATGGAGATGAAGGGTCTAAACCTTGCTCCACTTCACAGGAAGATGAGGCTTCTGTGGTGACTTCAGGTATGAAGTTGACACTAAGATCGAATCCTGTGAGAACTGAAAACGCCAGAAAGAGGCTACAGCAAATTCTTGACCAGGGAATATCAGAGAAGTGAACTTAGTGATGGTGCTACTGATGCAGACGACCAAAATAAACTCAATAATAGGTTGAACAAGGAAAAACCCTTTTGGGTTGAGAGATCTTTAATGTTAAGTGATATTTTCGACAAGTTAAACAAAGCTCGAAATGAAGAGGATATAAAATACTGTCTAGAGATACACAGCTTTATAATCAAAGCACAGCTTTATAATCAAAGCACAATGTCTACTTCAACAGAAATTAATGATCCCGAAGCATTAAACGAGCAGGGTGGAAAGAACGACGCAACTCCTCAACAAGTAGCTAATTATCCATTCCGAAAATTGTTAACACCATTAGATATTGATCAAGAAACTCTCAACAAAGTTGATGAGCATTTCTCTTCCCTGGAGCAGATTGAAGACTTGTAACTGAAAGCAATATTATTGTCTCAAAGACAGCCTAGTGTTGGGTTAACCTGTTGAGTTATGATTCGTGGTTATGGTTTGAATTTTCAACCCATTTTTAGGCTTAGTAACAATGGCAGTTAGTTCATGTTGTCACTTTAAAAGCTAACATTGGTAGATTCGGAGTTTCAATTTTGGCATCGAAAAACGAATTGTGTATATAAAAAGGTGGGTTAAACTTACTGTTGTAATTTAGGCCCTCCTCTATGCGTGGGTAGCAAAGCTTAGTGGAGAAGTTTGTGTTGTTGATTTTGCAATTATTTCTGTAACAGAGAAGTTTATTTTACCTCAATTTCTTTATTGTTCATTTTTATGCTATTTTGCATTTTTATCTACTCGGCAAATTTGATGGGATAATGGTATGAAAAGAAATGATTAATATAGGGTGTTAGAGAAATTATTTTTTCAAATAGGGTGGAATGAACATTACATAAAGGAAGACAATTAGGTATCTTTGGAGAGAGACATGAAAGAGGTTATGTATTTTTCAGGTTTGATGTAGTTTGAATGCCAATCTTAACGTAATATCAATCGAAAAAATATATTTTTCAAGTATTTTCAGAAGATATTAAATAATTTGATCGTCTACTCCTCATATATCATTCATTCCACCCTAATTAAGAAAATACTTTTCTCCATCCCATATGAACTACATTATTTAAAGAGTTTTACTCATATGCTTGCTCTTGGTAATTAATTTTGTGTTTTTTATTAACACGATTTATCGACTGAGTATTGGTTTGTTAACATTGTTATTATTGTAGCATCTAATATGTTATGATTTTAGAGTAAATTTAAATATAGTTATTTCCAATTTAAAGACTAAAATATATATATACTTAATTTTAATATTATAATTTTGATATAAAAAAGATTCATTCAAAATTTAATTTAAACAACATAAATTATTTATCACTATACTCGTAACTAATTGACAAAATAATTATAATTCTGTTACCTGATTTTTAAAAACCATTTTGAAAAGACATAAAGGACCAAGTGCGTTCACGCGCTAAGGATGCCCGTTTAAATCTGAGTTCCGTACCATTTGTGGCGTCAAGCAAGAAACCGATAACCACTAATTAGATCCCAGAATTGGCGGCGTCTGGAGGCTATTATTCTTCCTTTCTATTATTAAAAATTTAATAATTTTTTTAATAAAAAGATCGAAAAAAATACAAATTCCGACAACTCTGATTCTTTGATTTGTATTTTTTTTACATAGAAAACAATATTCTTATTGTTTTCTTCGTCTTTCCCCCCCAGCTTTGCTCTATTGGCAGCGCAAAATCTTCATTGACAGTAAAAATTGTTCTATTTTCCCACCAAACAATATAGAACAATCTTTCAAATTCTTGTTTTTACCAGTAGTTTTATATTATTTTTTTAATCAATTTTAATGTGAATATTTGATTTTCTTTAGAATCTTTTCACTGTTCAACACTATATTGGACGCAGAGGAAAATTTGATCTAAGGTTCAAACCTCATACAAATGATCTCATTTTTAATTGAAAACCCAGATATTTAGAATATAAGGTTGTTTTCTGAATTCTAATCATCTGGTTTATTTATTCATTAATGAATGTTTATATAATTTCTATGCAGGTTATGTTTGATGGAAGGTTCATTCTTCATTTAAACGATCTCATTTTGAATTGAAAACCCAAAATATTTAGAATGAAAGAATTGTTTCCTGAATTCAAATTATTAGTTTTTTTCTCTGTTCTTTTATTTGTTTAATGCGTGTTTATGTAATTTTAATGCAGATTAAGGAACTGACAATTGGACGTATTTATGAACAGTGATTAATGATTAGATTGTTGAATTTGGAAGTTGGAGATGTCTACCCAGTATGAAACATCTGACCCCAAACCTCCTTCTGGTAATTTTTCATTTATACAAACGAATTATAGAAAAAGCCGTCTTTTTGTATATTTTCTATTTAATATTTTCTTCCATAAATGACTATGGCATACACAAGAAGGATACGAAAACAATGAAAATATTGCTGACATTTTGGATTGTTGGCAATAGTGTTTTCCCCCTTTCTCTTGATGGAATGGCTGCATGCAATTTTTTACAATATTGTTTTTGTAATGAAGAATATATTATTCATGGTGTTAACTGTTAAACAGTGATCTTATCAGGGAAACTAATGTTATTCGGGTTCAGGGTTAGTGTTAGATACGAGTATGCTTAAGTTTTCCTTTTTAGTTTTTATCTCTGTGTGAATGTCCGTCGGATAGGACTGTTGGGAACTGGTACATAAGAAAAAAATGGAGTCGCACTAACATAGTTGAAAACAATATTGGTTTATTCGAATACGGGTTTTGGGAGGAACAGAAAATGAAACTATATGTAGGGTATGTACTTGAACTTCTATATCCATTGAAAGCCATCCATCGATCTATATTACTCAGATTCCGGTGTGAATATTAGATATGAGTATCTGTTCCAAATGGGTCTATTCATTTTTTTATTATTTTTCAAGGTTTTCATATATTTAGGGAGTTGTTAGAGGATCATATCCGATGCCCATGTTTAGATATACATTTGATGACATAGATGTAAAAAACAAGTACCTTAAGAAAATGATGAGTCGGAGCAACATGGTCATCGATTACCGTGGCGCTATTGATGGTATGATTTTCAAATAGTCCTTTAATATACTTACATAATTGTGAACATGTCAATTTTTGGTTTCATTGTTTGTGTATCATTTTATATTGAACTTCCTTTGTTGTCCTGAAAGATATGTTGATCTGATCTTTTGCATTTTTAAAGTGCTTGTGTTTAGCATTCATGTGAAGTACATGAACATGAGGATTTGATATTCAAGGATCCATTTAGAAGAAACTTAGAAGAATCTGATCACATCAGTAGCAGATAAATATCACCCGACACTCATACCTGGGCTTGAGAAACATAGCTCAGAAATGGTCCTAGTATATCTTACTTGAACCCCGGTGTGAGTGTTCGATATTGTCTGACAAAGATATATTCATTTTCTCTCTCGAGAATTTCAAGTATAAAAAGGATACTGGAGAATCATATCCCTATATCCATACCTGATTATGCCTTGAATACGGAAGCTGAATACAAAAACTGGAGAGATAGAGTGCAACAAAGTTTCCCAAATTAACAGAACGGTTACATGTTTCTGAAAACATAAATGTTTTTCTAAGTATATGTTTGGTTAATTTGATTATGTTGGATTTGTAGGATCAGGGTCTTGCTTGTATGATCTCTTATGTTCAGACACAACACCTTGGGAACGACCAAGTGATGCAGAGAGTACATGGTTCCTCAGAAAAGAATGGAGATCCTTTGGTATTATCCCTTTAAGTCAAATGTTGGTTTTCTAAATATTGTAATCCCATCTAACATGCTACAACTATGTTATTCAGATTTGAGTATAAATGTCAAGTATGAATATAATACGACATCAATGCTTTGAACTAAATTTTTTTTTAAATTGCATTATTCGTTAAACAGGTGCACGAGCAAGGCTGGAGAGAATGTTGGAAGAGTCCGGGAATCGTGTTTGTGCAGATTGTGGATCCCCGGATCCTAAATGGGTGTAAGTATCTCATGCTTTTGATTTAGAATGTTTTCCTTTTTCAATTTTCTTGTTTCAGGGTTATGTTATTTGGATTCGAATATGCGTTTAACATTGGTATATTCAATTTTTTTTACAAGTTTTTTCATATATTGGAAGGTCCTTGAAGGATCATGTCTCCAGTAAGCATGTCTAAAAATGTGTCAAATACGTGTACTTCATTTAAATGATCTTTTTAGGATCATATCCCATATCAATGCAGAAGACCTCAATCTCGGCCTTCAAGGCAAGGTGCATAAATCCTGAAAACATAGTCCTTTTTATTCCAAATAAACAATTCACTCAAAGCAAAGAAAATGATTTCGATTCTTTGAGCTCAAGGTGTTTGTTTGTACACATAAGTTCTATGCTCTGCCTGCTTTGACTATATTTTTATTGAAATATTCACATTCTACACTCGTGCTGGACTTGTGTATGGAGATATGACACATTCTTTTTTCTCCATACATGCATCCATATCTGACACTGGTTTGAATCTAAATAGCATAAAGATATAGCTCTTTCCATATGTCAAGAGAAAAAAAAAGAATAATTTTTTTTAATATATAGGATAAAATTTTCCCGTTTTCGACAGTTTTTCCTTTTATTGGTGCTTAAATTCGGTATGTTGAATTAGCATTGCCTTTCTTTACTATTTGTTTCTTTTTCTGCATATTAGATCTTTAAGTCTTGGAGTTTTTATTTGTATCAAATGCTCTGGTGTTCATAGAAGCCTTGGATCACATATATCGAAGGTATGATTTTAAGATTATGTTCTCTAATGAAATTTTAAGTTACTGATTTTATTAACTTGTGCTTTTTATATTTTTTTAGTATCTGTATCCTATGTTCATGTCTGACAAATATTTAGACACGAGTATAAACTATGATCCTCCACATGTATTGAAAAACATAAAAAGTTCATATCATATAGTCGTATCTAACGTTTACTCTTTAGTTCAAATAGCATAAATGTTTTTCGGGAGATCACTTCTTCATCATGGATTTCTCGATTACTTTGTATGACATTATGATTATAATTCATACAAATATGAATAGAAGCACACATGTTAACTGTATGTTACTCAGACTTGGGTGAGCCTCCGATATTTGACCCGAATATATCAAATTTTATAAAAGTTCTTTTCTATTTATTTATATAATGTTTGGAGGATCATATTCCTATATTTACATTCGTCCATTCATCAAATACGACGAGTATGGAATACAAATACTTAAAAAAAAAAGTCCGAGCAACATAACATTTTATCCACTACTTTTCTAATTTGAGAAGCAACTGTGCTAGGTTTATTCAGTGAAGCTAGATGAATGGACGGATGACCAAGTTGATTCTCTGGTAAATTTGGGTGGCAATAATGTAGTAAACAATAAGTATGAAGCTGCCCTTCCTGATAACCTTAAAAAACCCGGACCGGATTCCTCCATTGAAGAGCGCTCCGATTTCATTAGGTAACGCCGAATTAAAATTATGTTTATTTTTAACGCTTGATCCATTTTTTTTCTCAGTATTCTATTTCTTGTATGCTCAGGAGAAAATATCAGATGCTGCAATTTTTGGAAGGCCATGAAGAAACGGCCTGCTGCCATCAGCCGCAACATCCGACTTCTTCGTTGACATTACATATTACTCCCAACCACCATTGTAGTGATAAAAAAGTTAGTGAGAAACATGGCAAACATCGGCACAAATTTAGAAACAGCTGGGTAAGAAATAGTGATCCGCAGAAGATGACTAAGAAGATCAACTCATTGGTAATTTTTTTTTTTAGCTTGATCTATTACTTATTCTGGTATTGCTTCGACTCTTCTTTTTCTTCAAAGTATTTGTAACATAGTTTTTATTATTATTAAAGTGTGTTACTAATTGTTATTTTATTTTTCTTTTAATGTACCATTTATAGGCAGGTATGGTTGAATTTGTTGGTCTGATTAAAGTGAATGTGGTTAAAGGCACCAATCTAGCTGTCCGAGACATGGTCTCTAGTGATCCGTATGTCATTCTTGCTTTGGGTCAACAAGTATGCTTCTTTTTCTCATAGAAATGCCGATATTATTTTATATTGATTCGATTCTTCATTTTCATTTAACTATTTATATCTGATTTATTTCGGATATGTGTATATACGATATGATTTCTAAGTACCCTCCAACTACATGAAAAGTGTTAAAAATCTGATCATACAAATCAGACGCCATTTGTACTCGAATCTGAATAAGATAGAATGTTATTATATGTTGAACTGAAATGAAGAAATATAATGAAGCATGTTACTGTAGTGATCTAATTTCCTTATATTTTTCTTGTTTTTGCAGTCGGTAAAGACTCGTGTCATAAAGAACAACCTAAATCCGGTCTGGAATGAAAGCCTAATGTTGTCAATTCCAGAAAATGTTCCTCCTTTGAAAGTGGTGAGTTTGATTCTTCAATACCAAAAGGAAAACATGAAATTTATTGCCTGGTATTTAAGTATAGAAACATGGAAGCTTAAACTCACTCTACCTTGTTTTATACTTTGCAACATAAGTTTAGTTACGTCGATAGTTGATACTTGTGTCTACGACGCTAATAATCGATTCATATCCTCGTAAACGACTCTTAATAGGACTTCTAAATACATGGAGAAACCAAAAAAATTTGAACATATTTGGATGGGAATGAGGATATGACCATTTGAATAGATTTTTTTCTTTTGAATAGTCTAGAATGATTACAAAATAATATCTGTTCAGAATATTTTTTACCATTGACAATGCACATACCTTCTAGAATTTGAATAGATATTCAATTACCCATATTGGACACATACATGCATTCAAGACTCTCACCCTTATCTCAAGTAACATAGGCAGTAATCCTGTATTTGCCTTGTCGTTTTATATGGTGATTATGGTTCGGTAATTGATATTTGGGTTTTGTATGCAGTTTGTGTATGATAAAGATACTTTCAAGAATGACGATTTTATGGGGGATGCCGAGATTGACATTCAACCACTTCTTGCGGCAGCAAAAGCCTATGAAAAGTCCGAGATTAGTGAATCAATGCAGCTCAGAAAATGGGTGGCAGACCACGACAACCACCTGATAAAAGATGGTGTCATAACCTTAACAGATGGGAAAGTGAAACAGGAGATCTCTTGTAGCCTACAACATGTTGAGAGAGGAATGTTAGAGATTGAACTCGAATGTGTCCTCCTTACGCAATAGTGGTCGTAAATATTCAGGTAACATATCGAGACGTCAAAACTTGACTCATTCAACTTCGATTAGATAATGTGATTTAGGAAACATCGTCTCGGTTTGGTTTGACAATATCGTTGTCTTCTCGAGGTGTTTTTTCCTTTTGGGCCGTCCCACTTTAAGACGTTCAAGATGATGTATCGATCAAAATCTTGAACAAATTCAATTATCTAAAATCGTTTTGAGTGTGTACAGCCGTCGGCTTCGTAGTATCCCGTCTTTTAATTCAACTGCCCAAGTATATAATATTAAACTGAATTGCAACCTTTAAATACATGTTAGGATGACAATATTTATGCCCAAATGTCTTGCTCTTTATTTTAAGTATCTGTATCTAAATATAGGTATGAATATATGATCCTCTAAAGACATGGAAGAACTTTAAGAAAATGAATATTCATGCTGAACACATATCCGCATAGTACACACTTGAATCCGAGTAACATAACCCCAAATAACCCATCATTTGCAGCATCTCTATATAAATTCTGAACACATAAAAATAAGAGACACCAAGAGATGAGCTGCATAGATAGATATCGAGACAAAACTAAGATAATTAAAGATATCATCAGTTCAATACAATCGCAAGGATGATTGACAATTACAGAATCAACACATCAGTACGTCTAAATTCTCACTCCTCATTCTTAAGTTATCTATGTTACTTAGATGTGAGTGTTGGACATAGGTATGTCAAATTTTCTCTACGATTTCCATGTATTTAGAGTGTGGAGAATTATAACCCATCCCATGGTCGAATATGCATCAGATACAGGAGATGGACATGTGTACTTTGATAAAAAGTAAAAGTCCGATCAAAAGATAAGTTCTACACTACCCTACACTCCCATGAATAGGACCAGAACTTCACTGAATACTTGAACCAGATTTTGCATACTGTTAACACTTTCATTAAGCTAACTCCAGAGTGATAAGCAAATTAGGTATATTGAGCTTGAGGCCTGAAGCAAACCAGAAATCATTTCTAATATTGGTTCTGTATGAACAAATGAAAATTCAGGTATATATGCACTTAAGTTTCTTCGATTGCAAAGTGAATTCAGGAACAAAAGCGTATGTTATAGTATATTCTCACAATCTGTCACTTGCAACATATGCAAGTGCATTACATGAAGATAACACTAAATATTTACAACATATAGAAGACCTAAATGATCTCCTTGACAATCAAATGCCAAAACCAAATACGGCATTCAATGACATTGCACTAATATAGCCAAACATCATTCAACAAAACACCAAACGATCTTCAGCTAACTGATAATGAACTGTTTCATACTAAACACATCAGTCCATTACTTCACGTATAATCAATATACTTTATTGGATGAATAAAAGAACGAGCTAGTGAATACCTTAGCAACCTGCAGGCAGCAGCAATCAAAGTGTTAAGAGCAGCAACCCGGGCACCGAATCAAGCCATTTTCATTGCATTCCAAGCAGCTTTTAAGCGACCCTTCGTCTTCATCGAACACTTTCCGACTCCCACTACAATTCCCACAAGGCACAAACCTGACATCCCCACAACAATCACAAACAAGTCCAGGTTGTATCCTTGGGAGATCATCAAGAATCTTAGCCAATTCCCCAACTTCAAACATGCTCTTAATCACTTCAGCACCACCAACATACTTTCCCTTTATAAAAACCTGAGGCAAACTTGGATTGTTCTTTCTCAAAACGCTTTGCAACTCTTTCCTATAAGCTGAATCCATAGAAATATCTCTTTCATCAACCCAAATTCTAAACCCTCTAAATATCATCCTAACAGCGTAACAATCCTCGTAAGTTCTTCTTACCCCTCGTAAACTAGTAAAATAAACAACAATTCGATCTTCAGTTCCAGGTAGTCTTATCGATGGGCTATTGAAGCCCGAAGAAAACGAAGAAGAATACCCAATTGATTTCGCGGGTCTTAAAGCAACTTTTGGAGAATGTTCATTTGAACTGGTTGAAGATTTCGCGGATTCGAATAAATTGCAAAGCCTTTTGACTTTACCTTTAACAGAATCGATTGAACTGTAAATTTTGGAAATGGAAGCTGCTCGATTAAGAGACGATGGGTTGTTGAGAAGAAGATGAACTTTGGAGGCGTCCGATTCAGCTGGGTTTGCTTGCATCGTAAACGAGCGATTAAAGAACATCGACCCCGATGATGGTTTCGCATCGCTGTTTTCCAATTCTGCCATCGACCCAGAATACAAAAACTCACAAATTAACAGGAAATTCAACTTTCTGAAAAGAAAGTGAAAGAAAACTCGGTTTCGTCGATTGAATTGAAGGAAATGAGTTATTTTTGTTGTTTTAGATAGAGAAAGAAACGGAGAGAAAGAGCTTTGCTTTATGTAAACGTAACATCAAAGCAAGAATATTGTTTACCGTCCTTTTCAATAAGTTAATTTCAATTTAATATATTTTACAAATTAAAAATAATAGTTTATAGACTAAATAAAATATCAATTCTCTTTTAGGTCAGCTTAATTTTTCTTTTTCTTTTTTCTCAAACTTGATTGATTAAAATCGAATTTATTGTATAAATAAAATAATATGTTTAATAATTAGTTTATATTATTTAAACTGAAACTGAGAACTTATTACTTTTACTATATTTAAAAGTTGAGGTGATGAAGAAAGAGACAGCGGGCAGGGCACCGACTCACCGCCTTTTTTGAATCGCACGGACGGTTTGGCTTTGTTTCAATTTGGTTGTGAATCAGAATATTTATACTTGTCCAAATATAAATATAATATTATTAAAAAAAACTTAATGCAAAATTAAGTGTACAAATTATGATTCTAAGTATCTAAAGAATTTCATTGAAAATAAATGTTTAACGTTTTTTACGTTACAATTTTAAGTACTTATATTATAATAATTATTAAAAAAAATTCATTATATGACACGTGTTACGTTTATAGAATTTTAATTTTTTTAAACTTCAATTTATCTTAATGTTTTAAAATCGGACCTGACCTCGAACCGGTAAAAGTACTGGTTCACTGGTTCAACCAGGTTCAATAGCGGTTCAACCGGATTTTATATAAAATAATATATTTTTTAAATTTTACATAATATTCAAAGTAATATTAATTTATATATATATATAACACTTTTTTTAAGTTTACAATATTAAAAGGTATAAAAATATTACAAGTTATAACTTATATAAGTTAAAAAACATAAAATCAAGTGAAACAAAATGATTCAAATCAACTACAACATAATATTTAAGGTAAAATATATTAAATAATAAATATAATTATATAACTATAATAAAAAAAAATTTGGAGCTGAAAAAAATCATAACAAACGATGTCGTTTTGTTTAATTTTTTTTTTAAAAACAATCTCACATGGCTAAGAAACATAGAAGAGCATCCCAAAAGTTTAAAGAGTGAAAATATGAGAACAAAACAATCCCACATGGCTAAGAAACATAGAAGAGCATCCCAACTGACTTCTATAAATACTAGAGGCAATTTGACATTCAAAATCATGGAGTCTTTTGGTAAGCATAGAACGAACTATTTTTTCGCTTCAATTGAGCTCGAATTTCAAGCTTTAATCGAGCTTCTAAAATTTTTTGAGTTCGAGTTGAACTTGATAATTTTTAGCTCGTGAGTTTTTGAGTCGAGTTGAGCTTACTTTTAAAGTTTTTGAGTTCGAGTCGAGCTCAGCAGTACTCGAGTTCAACTCGGCTCGTTTAACAAATGACGTCGTTTGATTTAATTTTTTTTAAAAAAAAAGAGAATCGACAGTTCACACCGATTTTGCCGGTTCTAAGCCGGTTCTACCGGTTCTGTGCTAATCCGGTTTTGGGAGTTAACCGGACCGAAAAGGCCACCGGTTTACGGTTCAACCGATTGAACCGATCGGTCCGGTCCGATTTTAATAACACTGATTTATCTAAAATAAATTTATCTAAAATTTATCTAAAATAATAAAATTCTATAAAAATAAACTTCAAATTTATCTAAAAAATCAAAATCCATAATTTTAAACTTCATTTTTTTTAAATAAGGTACTTCGTATTAGGGAAAACAAAGTACACCACCTCAAGAGTCTCGTTAAAAAACCTCTCTAAACCTAAATAGAGAAAAAAAAAACGTCCCTTAAGGTGGAAAGATACATCCGATGCAGGCTTACGCCAAACAATACAAACCCGAAACCGTAACCCTCTCCTACTAACAACAATACAATCGAAACGACACAGGGTACTAACAACTAAAACAACAGAAAATAAACTGTGCAAGCACCATTGAAACAAGATGAAACCGAACTGAAACAAATAATAGAACCAGACCAGGACGAGGAAGAAATAACCAAGACTGGAAACAACAGTGTGCAGCTAAAAACAATCCCAACCTGAATTGATCTCTCCCTCAGGACAACCATCCGTGCCAAGCAACAACAAACCGCAAATAGGCAGCTGAAGGCAGAAACCAACATGAACAACCTCTTCTCGACAGTTGGCTTAAAACCAAGAAACCTCATTCCAAGTTCAGCTCCCATAACTCTACAACGTAGGGCCAACCTGAGAAGAAAATTGATAGACATACATAATAGCAACAGGTAACTCTAGCGCTTACTTTGAACATCCAGAATAGCTCGAGAAAAAATCATGACACCACCCCCCTTCAGCTATACTTCGTAGTCAACCAGTAGGAAAAATTACAGCCTCCGGACAGAGGATGAAATCATGAGCATATGGAATTAGATCCAGCCATAAGTAGTTAGCCCAAACCCCAATCTAAATCAAGGCAGCATTCAAGATCTAATCTACCGAAAAAGAACACCCATTAAATCTTGATTTATTCCTGCACATCCATATTCTCCAAATCAGGCCAAAGAAACCAAGGATCCATAAGTTCCAAAGTTTCCAGCTTATAATCTGAGAGAACCAGACCTCAAGAAAATCTTTAACGTTCCTAGGAAAAATGATATTCAATTTCCACAAGCTACACCAACGCTGCCAAACTTTCCATACTACACCGCAGTGCCACAAAATGTGATTGATTGATTCCGATTCTTGATTGCAGAACGAACAAAGGGGCTGATCATTGCAAATGACTCCTCGTTTTTCAAGCTCAATTATAACCGGCAGCCTATAATGCATGACTTTCCACATAAAAATAGAAACTTTTGGAGGAACATATTTGAACCAAACCTTCTTCCAAATTGGATCGATCATTTTGCCGACACAAGCCAGCTGAGTACAAAAAGAATTGGGGCTGTAACCACCATCCGAAGAACCTGACCAAAACAGTTTATCCGAACCTAGGGCTGGGCTAGCAGCTTTGTTCAGAACCTGCATAAATTTGGACCAAAGAGGCTTTTCCCAATCGAAGAGGACTCTCCTCAAATCTATCCTCCAAACACAAACACCACGAACCCAATACCCAAATTCACTAATCTTACCGAATTTTAGAGAAGCTATACCGAAGATTATAGGAAAGGAGTCTTTGAGAGAAACATACTCAGTCCAGTGATCAAACCAGAATTCAATATAGGGATGGCAAACGGGTGGGTCGGATGCGGATACCCACTCCCCATCCCCATACCAACCTAATATTTTTCAATCCACCACCCGCCCACCACCCATGATGGGTACAAATTTTCAAATCCACACCCGCCCACGCGAGTACATTTTCAAATCCATCCCCACACCCACAACCCACTGGTGACGTACCCGTCTAGACCCGCCTGAAAGCAAACTTAAGTTATATATAAGCAACAAACATAAAAAAAAATGTCCATTAAGAAACATAATAAAATAATCCAAGAATTATTTTAGTTAAGTGTTAATATAGATCTTAAAGTACATAAAACACCATAATAAAAGACATAATTAAAGTTTAGAAACATAAATGACAAACACATAATATTTTTGTTCTTTGACACAACATTCTAAAATTTCAAGCAATGCTTATGACATCTGATACTCGAGTATTACAATCATTATTCTCTATTTCCTCCAATTGAGAGCGCTCCAATTTAAATTCACTACTGCCTACATATATAATAGAAAGTGGGCGGGCGGGTGGATATTTAACTGGGCGGGCTGATGTGGGGCGGATGCGGGACGGGTAATGTCTTAAACCCATTACCCGCCCACTACCCGCGACGGGTATCACTTTCTAAATCCACACCCGCCCACTACCCGCTAAAATTATACCCATCCCCGCCCCAATTGGAGCGGGTGCGGTGCGGAATCCGCGAAACTGTACCTGTTTGCCATCCCTAATTCAATATGTGATCCATCGCCCATAACACATCTCATGTCAGACAATAGACTCACCTCATTAGAACTTACTGGGTTGACAATACTACGCCACACCCAAGAAGACTTGTGCACGTTAACAGATTTGGGGATAAGCGAGTCCTGAACGTAGTTGTACTTAGCTACCACCACCTTTTTCCATAAGCTGTTTTTATCCTCACTAAAACGCCAGATCCATTTGTTGAGCAGGATTCCTACTTTTAACGTCGAAAATACCCAAACCTCCATGAGATTTTGGACCGCAGACATTACCCCATTTAATCCAGTGAATACCTCTTACAGACATAGAATTCCACATAAAATTTACTGCACATTTATTCAACCTCTCGGCTATTGATTTTGGAATGGAAAAGATGGACATATAGTAAATAGGCAAATTAACCAGAACTGACTTAATAAGCGTAAGCCTACCACCAAAAGAGAGAAGTTTACCTTTCCAACTGTCTAGACGAGAAGAAACTTTATCGACAATAGGTTGCCACAGAGACTTAGAGTTCTTTTTATGACCAAGAGGGAGGCCAAGATACGTCGTAGGAAAATCAACCCAACCGTAAAAAATAGAATCAACCGACCTTCTAACTCTCTCCTTTTCCACATTGATCCCGAATATCTTAGTCTTTTGCAAGTTAAGCTTCAAGACGGCCGCCACTTCGAACACTTTGAGAACACGATAGAAATTTTTAATTGACAAATCTGTAGCTTCCGAAAAAATAAGAAGATAATCAACAAATTGAATATAGGACAAAACAACCCTTTCAGAGCCTATTCCTACTCCGGCACACAATCCTATCTCAGTCGCTTTCGAAAGCATGTCACTAAGAGCCTCACCCAAAATATTAAAAAGAAAAGGCGACAACAGACAACAAATTTTAAACTTCATTACCAGCCATCTTCGGTAACCACCGCTGCTGTCGTCCCCGTTGGTAAAAACTAAAAACCGATCATTGCACCTAAGCCTGCAACTAGTGTTGAAAGTTCACCTAGAATAAAGGTGGCCTCGGGGTTGAAGAAGAGGAGG